GAAGTCTAATTATAAAGATCTCCCCTGCCTGTGACATTGTCACAATTTTGCAGGTGTAATTTACACAAGAAGATTTTTTAACCATAAGTTTAAATTCTGTACTTCATGTAAATACTTTGCTGTGCAATCATACATGTGCCTGCTTAGAAGTAGACCTTACTGAGTTTAGTAGGACTTCCAGGTAACAACTAGATTCTGGACCTGATTATGTTGAATTACTTTCATTTACCATTTTTATTTTGCAATAGGCACAATTCTTGCTAAAGATGATGTGACTAAAAGTACAACATTTTGTGACATACCTTTATGTTCTTTCTAAGCTGAAATGCATATTTTTCTACCTCCAAGTAATCCCTTTCATCAAGCTGTTGGGGGATACAGGTTGTCATTTACTGAAAATCACCGCTACAGATGAAGCCAAAATGATGATGAAAAGGATTCCATGGAATCCTGTGAAGAGAAAATTGGAAATGTTCTACAGTGGTGCCTCGCATTACGACGTTAATTCGTTCCAGCGAAATCGCTGTAGAACGAAAACGTCGTAATGCGAAAAGAAAAAACCCATTGAAACGCATTAAAACCCGTTTAATGCATTCCAAAGGGATTAAAACTCACCATCCGGCGAAGATCCTCCATAGGGTGGCCATTTTCGGTGCCTGTAATGCGAGGAATCCGTCCCAGAAAACAGCGGGGGGCCATTTTGTTTACCTGGTGGCCATTTTGAAACTGCCGATCAGCTGTTCGAAAATCATCATTTTGCAAAGAATCGGTTCCCGAAGCAGGGAACCGATCATCGCAAAGCGAAATTCCCCCATAGGAAACATCGTTTTGCGATCGCAAAAGCGATTGCAAAAACTTCGTTGTAATGCATTTTCGTCGTTAAACGGGACAATCGTAAAGCGAGGCACCACTGTATTTCTGAAAAATTGCTATGGCTGATGTCATCAGTGTTATACAGTTATTGCAACAGGATTTCGGACACTCTTAAATTTTTAGAACAGATTAGAAGAGTCACTAAATTATGTTTGTTCTTACAGGTATTTATTTTTTTGTGGCTGGTTATATAACATGGCAGCAGGAGGCAGTCCTTTTGAAGAAGGAATAGATGATCGTGACTTACCCAGCTGGAGCAATGAGAGCCTTGATGATCGTCTGAACAATACGGTATAACTGCCATTTTTTGTGTACATATTACAAAACAGGTTATGGTGTTAACTCATGTTCTGGACATCAATAGGTAATTCAGTTACTGAATTATTTCAGTTTAGTAAAATGTTGGTATTTTATAATTGAGCAGCATTGATATTAAAATTAGACTGCATCAAGTACACACTGAGTTTGATGGAGTTGTTGAATGTACTATTACCACATGCTGAAGACATGCTCAGAGGTAAAAGTATAATACATATAAATTGCTTCTTGTAGTTTTCTGCATTGATTTGATAAGTATTACTGGCTTTGCATAATACTTTGAATAATGATGAGAAAGCATTTTTCTGTTTTCTGTACAGTGGGGTCTTGACTTGAGAACTTAATCCGTATTGGAAGGCGGTTCTCAAGTCAAAAAGTCTGTAAGTCAAGTCTCCATTGACCTGCAGTGCATTGAAAACCGATTAATCCCGTAACAAGCCGTTTTTGTTCCATTTTGGTTTTTTTCTGGTCTGTAAGTCAAATCTCAGTCTGCAAGTCAAACCTAAATTTTGCGGCCAGAGAAGTCTGTAACTCAAAAAGTCTGTAAGTCAAGCGGTCTGTAAGTCAAGGGTCCACTGTATGTGTGTGGTTTTTGTTTGATTTTTTTGTATGTGTATGGTTTTTGTTGTTGTTGTATTCTCCTCTTTCCTTCTTAGAGCTGGGGTGGTCAGCCAAAGAGACCAAACAAATCTTCAGAAAAAAACAAGAAAAAGGTTCCTGTTGAAAGTGGAACAAGACTTACTAATGACATCTCTCCAGAATCTACACCAGGAATTGGGCGAAGGAAGTCAAAGACTCCTCACAGCTTTCCTCATACACGATACTTAACTCAAATGTCTGTTCCAGAGCAGTCAGAACTTGAAAAACTTAAGCAGAGAATAAATTTCAGTGATTTGGATCAGGTTTGTGTTTATTCAGCTAGTAAAATGTACCTGTGAAAATAATATATTTAAGAAACAAAGCTGAACACCCGCAGATGCCAGACACCATATTTGCTCTCTAGGTGACTAGCTTCTGAACTGAAGGAAACTGAATTTACAAATTGGATTCTGAGCTGGACAATATGAAAACGTGTAATGAGAGTTCAAGATGTTTGTGTGTGTCAGTTGTTTTTTACTTGTTTGGTGATTTCTGATCATTCTTACCTCCAGAATGCAGAATTCAGAGAAGCTATCTTCTGGAGAATTCCCATTAAGCTCTACTTGTTCTTCCAACTTTAAACCTGGAAGGATGTGTCAGCTTTGTGCATGACTTGTGACCACCCTTTCTTTCACTCAGTTCTTTGAATAGAGGAATGAGGGTGGGGTTTTCAGAAGCAGAGACCAACAGCTATCTAGGTGCAGCCTCATGTTTCAAAGTCCGAAAATCTGGCCACACATACAGTATATGTTTTGTCTCTGGTTAGATAGGCAGGGTGAATATGTAACAACATAGCAAAGTTGTTAGAATATGTAACAACATAGCAAGGGTGTTAGATGGAGTGAGATTAAGTTGCTACAGTGCTTTAATCTGAACAACTGTTTTTGCCCTCCCCTTAATTGTGCCGTCTGTCACCTTTGGTCAGAAACAGGCATGGAGAAATGCTCTTGGGATGAGGGAATGCGCTTGAGGGAGTAGGGGCTAAACTCAGGCAGGTAGAACGGAATTTGGAGGCTTTACTCTGTGGGTAGATTTGCATTGCTGTGATGATGCATTATCCAGTATCTAATTATTTATCTAGAGCAGTGCTTCCCAGCCTTGATTCCCCAGATGTTCTTGTGCTACAATTCACAGAAATCCTGGCCAGCTCAACTAGTGGGGAAGGCTTCTTGGAGTATAAATCAAAGAACATCTGGGGTCCCGAGGTTGAGAACATTGATCTGATAAAAGTGCACTTGCATATTCCAGCATTTATCCATGTGAGCCTTGAGATTGTTTTCATATGATACTAGATGCAAACTTGAAGAAATGTGTAATTATTTTTGTGGTATTCTGCTCTTATGTAGAGAAGTATTGGAAGTGATTCCCAAGGCAGAGCAACAGCTGCCAACAACAAACGGCAACTCAATGAAAACAGAAAGCCATTCAACTTCCTGTCACTACAGATTAATACTAATAAAGACAAAGATGCTGGTGCAAGTTCTCAAACACAAGAAACTAGTGGAACGTCACAGTATAAAGACTTAGTTACAGCTGCCTTAAGTAAGGATTTGTTGCAGAATTGTCCAGTTTCAATTGAAGAGGATGGAAGAGGTGAACCTGCAGTGGATAGCAGCCAGGTGCTGTTTGGACTTAATGTATCTTTGTCATATTGAACAAGATTTTGGATATGAATACAAAATTTATAAGTTTATTATATCAGTAATTTACAAACATGATAATTTACAAAGGAAAATTGGCTTTTAAATGTCTGTTAAAAATATTGGTAGAGGTGGCATTGTTTTAGAAATACATATTTTTTTTAAATTTTAGATGTGTATTTTTAATTGAATCATGGCTTTAAATCTGACTTGGTGCTCTCCATAAGGGCTTCAACTTCTGTCAGCATAGGCAGTGGTCAGTGTTGATGGAAGTTATAGTCTAAAACATTCTGGAGGGCACCAGTTGTTACTTCTCTAGACAAATAGTTCAAATCAATCTAATGCTCTTGTTAACAAAAAAGTAAGTTAGAGTGCTGACATGATTTCTCTGTGCAACATTTTAAATGTTCTATTCAGTGTGGTGTAGTGGATAAAGTAATGGGTTAGGACTCAGGTGGCCTGATGCTGGATCCCCACTCAGACATGGGAACTAAAAAGGGGTGTGGAACTAGTAAAGCCACTACTGAAATATCCCACTTCTTGAAAGCCCTATTAGGGTCACTATAATTTGGTTCCAACTTGATGACACATAAGAACAATACATACTTAGGTTATAGTCATGTATGCTCTTATATAGTCTCATCTATATATCATGTACAGTACATCTTTAGCAGAATAGTGTGTATTCAAAATTTGTAACTACATACATTTGCATATACTTTCTGTGTTTGGCCTAACTTGGTTTTTTTGGGTAGTTCTGACCAAATCATGTCAACCTAAGGGAGATAAGGCAGTATCCTCTATGGCTATGTTCCACCACCTTGGGTCTCCAGATGTTCTTAGACTACAACTCCCAGAAGCCTCCACCACCACTTCTGCTGGCTAGAATTTCTGGGAGTTGAAGTCCAAGAACATCTGGAGGCCCAAGGTTGGGGACCACTGCTCATTGGAATGTCTGTCAATGGAATAGCAGATTCCAGAGGGATTGTGGGAGAGTGATATCCTGAATCTTCTGCAATCGTATGTCTGCTCCCAGAACCAACTGTGGCTGTTTGGGAGGCCCTCTGGAAGAGGCTTTCATGTGGCATAAAGTCTCATGGTGGGAGAGAGAGGAAGAACATTTCATGGCAACTGCCAGCAGAAGAGTGGAGTTAGTCCTAAAATCTTTCTTTCTTTCATCACAACACATTATATTAAGTATTTGTATAATGTTTCTGCATAACTCTGTCCTGTAACTTTTTCAGATTGTGAGCAGATTAGTTCAAATTCGTGACTATATTGCAAAAGCCACTTCCATGCGAGATGATCTTGTTGAGAAAAATGAGAGATCTGCCAATGTCGAACGCTTATCACATCTTATAAATCATCTGAAACAACAGGAGAAGTCATACCTGAAATTTTTGCAGAAGATACTAGTAAGTTTGAGAACGTAAATGTGTTTTGCAAACTGTAGAACATTCCTAAAGATAGCATGGGGGATGAGTTTAAATATGTAACAGTTTCCCTTACCTTTCACTTTCCTACCCCATTTATTGTAGTTTTTTGTTTATACCACTAAAATATTCTAGGCTAGAAAGAATGAGGAGGAGGATGGTCGGACTGTAGATTCAGCTGTGGGATCTGGTTCTGTAGCTGAGAGCACATCACTAAACATAGATGTGCATTCTGAAGTTTCAGATACAACGGTAAGCTGCTTTTTAGTAATTAAGGTGCTAGATGTGAAGATTCTTTTCTCTCTTCAGATAAGTGATCTTTGGAATCTATATTTTATTTCCTGAACATATTAATCTGTAAACCTTGAAAACTAATTGTAGAGAAATTGACTGGTTTGGATCATACATATGAGTGGACAGTGTAATTTCTCCACCATCTTTCTTCTTGCAGCTTGATGGAAAAATGCTGCTGAGGTCTGAGAATTACCTGGCCTAGTACAGAAAACAGTATACAGAACTCTAGTGGAAAAAAAGAATGGTTGGAAATAGGGGTTTTCAGTTGCATGCGCAAAAGTGCTTTCTTTTGGTACAGCGTACCTTTTTGGATTAAATACATTTAATCATTTTACTAATGCTGGTAAAACACTTCGCTGTGTGTTTGTTACTGAACAGAACCTCACTCACCAAACTTTCAAGGCTTAAAAGAAATTCCTTCTGTCTTGTCATCTTTAATGGTTAAAACCTAACCATCTTTAAGACTGTAGAGCTTTGTTAAGTTCTGATACATCTGAAGTTGAAGCCATAAGATTGGAGCATGTGAGTGTTTCCTCACTGCTTGTCATTTATACAGAGCTCAAGGCTGAGGATTTCAGGTGCTTTCCAATCTCATTCTTTGCATATTTGGTTCCTTGCCTGCAGTTAAACTTTCTCTTCAGAGGAAGTATGAGCAGCTTCTGCAGTTCAGTCTAATGCACATTTAGTCAGAAATAAGAACTTTTGAGGACAGTGGGAGATGGTTCTAGGAGAGGAAAACCAAATAACTTTCTCCCATCTGTGTTTGCTTTCAGAGAGATATATATAGTTTCACCTGATTATACACTCTAAATTTGAATAAAACTTAAAATCACATGAAATTGTTTTAAACACTACTATCTTAATACTGACCACTAATTACATCTTTATCAGAAATAAAGAAAATAATGTGAGCATTTAATCTTAGTTTCTATTTCTGTCCAGTATTTTGACTACCAAACGGTTATTTTTCTGTGCTGTGTAGGAAACAATGAAATAATTAATTTCTAAGAACCCTTTTTTCACAATTTCCACAGGATTTATTTGACTGCAACTACTATCATTCCTCATTGGCTTTGCTGGTTTAGGGATGATGGGATTTGCAATGCAGTGACATAAGGAGAGCCATATGCTGCTCATCCTGCTGTAGAAGCAGCTATTGCTTGTTCTAAGCGACAAGTGTAGTAATTGACACACGTTAAGCTAGATGTATAAAACAAACAAAAGGCTTGTGGTAGCATAAGTTACAGTATCACATATCTGAGCAACCTCAAAATGTTAGAGCTTGTCTTCTTGGCACAATGTACAATGTGGCAAAATAGTACAGTGGTGCCTCACATAACTTTTGCTTCGTTTAACGTTTTTTTGATGTGGCAAAATACTTAGTAGTTTAATATTCTCTAAAATCCTTTTGAATGGTGGAACAATATTGAGGAGAAACTGGTGGGATGAATCTGAGCCCAGTGCAAGGACCTGTATGCAGTGACGTTTCCTATTAATGTGAAGGGCACAATAGAACAAACAAATTTGTTTGTAGTGCTTTCCTTGGACTTTATAGTTGCTAAACCGCAGTAACCAGGAAACAGCCACATAGCTCCTTCTACAGGCATTATGCATTTACCTCAAATGTTACTAGAAACAGAGAGGAAGGAGCCATTGATATGGGTAATGTATGAACTTGGCTTTTTTGAGTTTTTTCATTTGTGTGTTTATATACTTAAATTGTTGTAGTTCAAGATACGGCTTGCATAAGATTATTTTTGTGTTGTAGGAGTACTTATAAAATAGTATTTTATTCACAGTTTGGGAGAACAAATAGGTGCAACCCATGCATGTAATAGTTTTTTATGAGATATCTTTCTACCTTACACTTCTGAAATATCTCTTGATTCCATCAAATCTAAATTGATTTGAGGATTTGACATTTGCATCTCCAAATAATGTCTTGCCAAAACAGCAAGCTATTTTTTTTCAGCTTCCAGAAATTTAAAATGCAACTGAGAGATTGGGTGGAAAGAGCAGCATACAAGGAACTTCAGAGATACTCTTATGTGCACGTATACTAATTAGACACAACATTAAAACCATCTGCCTAATGCTATGTAGGTCTCCCTTATGCTGTCAAAACAGCTCTGATACATCAAGGCAAACATTCTCTAATTTTCAGCTCTGCTGGGTGGGGTTACACCCTCCTGCACACAACTCTACCCTCTGTGTGGGGTTTTGTCGTGATTGGAACCAAAGGAACTAGAAACAATCAATGTGGGTGCACAGAAGAGGAAGAATGCTGTGCAGAGGGGGGTGAAGTTGTGCGTACTTGCACAGCTGTGCACATTAGAGAGAACCTTGGTTGAAGCATAGACTCGCCAAGACCTCCCAACATGTTCTGTGGTTTCTGTCACCAAGACATTAGCAGTAGACCTTTTAATTCCTGTAAGTTGAAATGGGACTTCCACAAATCAGATTTGGTGTTCCAGCACATCCCATAGATGCTCAATCATATTGAGATCTGAGGAATTCAGAGGCCAAGAGAACACCTTGAACTCTTTGCCATGTTCCTCAGAAACCATTCCTGAACAATTTTTGCAATGTGGCAGGGTGCATTATCTTGCTGAAAGAGGGCGTTGCCATCAGGCGTTGCCATTACCATGAAGGGATAGGTGTACGTGGTTTGTAACGCTCTCTAGGTAGGTGGTACATGTCGAAGTAACTTTCACGTGAATGCTGGACCCAGGGTTTTCCAGCAGAAAATTTCCCACAGCATGACACTACCTCAACTGGCCTGCCTTCTCATAATGCATCCTGCTGTGATCTCTCCCCGAAGTAAACAGCGCTCACTCACCCGGCCGGCCATCCATCTGATCTAAAAGAAAACATGATTCATCAGGCCAGGTCATCTTCTTCCATTATTCCATCCAGCTGTTTGAGCTATAGTATTATCAGACCAGACAGGCTAGCCTTTACTCCCCATGTGCATCAATGTGTCTTGGGTGCCTGCAGTCTTGATGCTGGAAGTTGTCCTTCCTTGTACTGCTTTTGTTGAGTAATAACTGCTGCATACCTCACAAGACTTGCTGTTTTAGAGATACTCTGACCCAGTCATCTAGCCATCATTATTTGGCCCTTGTCGAAGTCACTCAGATCTTTTCACTTGCCCATGTTTCCTGCTTCCAGCACATGAAATTCAAAAGCTGATTTTTCACTTCCTGTCTGATAAATCTCACCCTTTGAGAGAGGCCACTGTAACAATATACAGTGGTGCCTCGCATTATGACGTTAATTCGTCCCAGCGAAATCGCTGTAGAATGAAAAGGTTGTAATGCGAAAAGAAAAAACCCATTGAAATGCATTAAAACCCGTTTAATGAGTTCCAGAGGGCTGTAAACTCACCGTCCAGCGAAGATCCTCCATAGGGCGGCCATTTTCGCTGCCTGCGCAGTGAGGAATCCGTCCCAGAAAACAGCAGGGGGGCATTTTGTTTACCTGGCGGCCATTTTGAAACAGCTAATCAGCTGTTGGAAAATCGTCGTTTTGCGAAGAATCGATTCCCGAAGCAGGGAACCGATCATCGCAAATCGAAATTCCCCCATAGGAAACATCGTTTTGCGATCGCAAAAAGTTCATCGTAATGCGGTTTCATCGTAATGCGGTTAAATGGGGCAATCGTAATGGGAGGCACCACTGTAATCAATACTATTCTCTTCACCTGTCAATGGTTTTAATGTTGTAGCTGATCAGGGTACCTCTGCAGGTGTTGGTTTTTCCATTTTGCAGGGATCATACTGCCAATAGCATGTTAGCAAAACTGGAATTTTCTTTCAGCAATTAGGATTTGGCTTTGGCTATTGAGGTAATGGTTGAGTTGTAGGACTGATTTAGTAATCTGGAGAATGAAATGATCATTAGGAAAAGGAATGGCTAATAGAGTTAAAAGGCCAGTGTAATCCCTGATTTAGCAAAAATGAAGCAATTTAAATAATACAGTATTTAAATAATACAGTATTTTGATAAATGAAAATTAGGACGTTAGTCTTATAAGTTTGACAGTTATACTTGGCAAAAGTATGTGGTCACAGTCTAACTTATTAAACTATTTGATAAAGGAGGTGTCTTTTAGTCTGAGAGCTCGGCCGTGCATTGAGGACAAACTAGGGAATTCAGCTTCTCAAGGACAGGTTTCAGACATTGACGTTTCATCAAGTCCAAAAGTGAAGTGTGAAAGAGCTGCTCTGAATGGCAGGGAAATCTGGCCTAGTAGGATTAATAGCCAAGAACCTGGATTGCTCTCAAAGGTACACTATCAAATATTGCCTTGGAAACAGTACATTATAAAGCTTAATCTGCAAGTTTATTTTTTCTTTCTGGTGAATAGCCATTTAATAGCAATTTAAGATGCACCAAAAAAACTGCTTTTGTTATTTAATTACCTGTTGGTAAAGTTAATAATACTTGATCTGTTGCATCTAGCATTAATTTTTAAGAAATATCTGTATAGAACTCACTTATTAAAGTCAGCATCTTAAATGTTATTTCTCAATTATTATTTTATTAATGTACAAGTATCTCTGTACTTGGAAGGCACTGATTTCACTTTATAACCAAGAATGCTATTCAATTGCCTTAAAAATATACAAGAAGTGTTGTTACTTTCTGCTGCAGAAAATTAATTTTAATCCTTCTGTCTCCATTTTGCTGGTGAAATCAAATGCTTTATAGGCTTTTAGATAGAATTTTAATTTGGAGTTTCTTATTTGCTGATTTTTTTGAAATAGTTGTTTATTTTTAAGTTTTATCCTTCAGTACTTTGGCAGGTTCAATGGGCAGTTTTTACTCATGAGAGATGGGGAAAAATTGTCAGTAGATAATGTGCACTGAAAATAATTCGCTGATTTTTTGAAAAAAATATTGTTTTTTTTTTTTATTTTAAGTTTTATCCTTCAGTACTTTGGCAGGTTCAATGGGCAGTTTTTACTCATGAGAGATGGGGAAAAATTGTCAGTAGATAATGTGCACTGAAAATCCCACTTAAAGCAAGTATGCTGCCTTTAAACAGGACCTTCTTAGTCTGCCCACAGATAATGCCAAACCATGAAAAGCAAATTATAGCAAGAAAAAGGCTTGCTGTAAACAAGGTTTCCCTGAGTTGCTGCTGAAACATTGAGATTAGGTATTGAAAATAAAAAGTGTTTTGCACTTGTCCTGGATATTTTAAGAGTACTTTTGTGCTGTATTATGAGAATTGTGACATGATCTTAATTTCACCTTGTGGTTTTTTATTTCTTTTGGTTTACATTATAACTTGAATGTTTACATAATCATAGATCTCTCATGCAGTCTAACCTGAGCAGGTTGAATTTTAGTGAAAATTGTAAGTTTCATGGTCTGTTTCAAATCGATAGGACTTGAATATATTCTGATTGGATTACTCTTTTATTTACTTATATGAGGTGGGCTGGGAGAGAGAGAGAATGAACAAATAGCAAGAATCATGTTAGTTATTCCCAGCCTCATGATGCAGTTGGTGTGAATCTCGTTGGCAAACTGTTGCAAGTTGAGAAGTTAGGTTTTTGCAGTTTTGCACATGGAGTCATACGACTTGGTTGTGTGTTTACTGCACAACAATAAGTGTCTATACTAACTTCATAACTTGTGAGAGTCCCCAACAAAATTTACACCAGTTGTGTTATGCTGGCATAAAAACTTGATAGGATTTTGGCCACTTACTCTTACTCCCAAATAAGGACTTGGACAAGGCATAGTAATAGACGATTAAGTACATTACGGCAACAATCCTGTGAATAATTGTATATAAGTAAGATGTCAACACAGTGAGGTTTAATTTCGAGCATTCCTCTATAAGACTGTGCTGTAAACATTGATTTTCTTGAAGTAACATACCAAAATTTTCTGTGGGATTTGAAGAACTGAAGATAGGTAATTCCAAGTAATACAGTTTTGAGGGTGGGATGGAGAGAATGACAAGTATAGTAGACTGCTGGAATTGTTTTCGAGGTGTTATTGGGTAGTATAATGGATTCTAGTTAGTGTCGTACCTGTACTAATATCCTACATGTTTAGAAGTTCAGGTGTATTTGAGTTCCTGGGAACTCAATACTAGCATAGTGAAGTTAGCATATGATTAAGGTTTCCTGTAAAACACTGAATGAATACTAACTACATTTTTCTTCTTTTCATTACTTCCTTTTAAAATTCTATTATTTAGGCTAGAGATCCTCAGCAAGAAGCTACAGAAGAGCTTGCAAATCTAAAGAAGCAACATGATTTACTGAAAAGAATGTTGCAACAGCAGGAACAATTGAAAGCTCTTCAAGGGAGGCAAGCTGCTCTGCTTGCTCTGCAGCATAAAGCAGAACAAGCAATTGCTGTCATGGATGACTCTGGTATGCTGAAACTCTATACATCTGAACAGAAGCCATCCTTCTTCCCATCAGTAGTGGACACTAAATTTTCAATTACAGTGACTAAAATCCAGTTGTAAGTTGAACTAGAGTAGGCCCATTAAATTAATGCAGATTTTGTGTGTTCTCTCCTCTGTAACTTCCATTGGTTCCATGGGTCTACTCCAGTTATTATTTACTACTGGGTTTCAGACAATTTGTCATTGGATTTGAAGAAAAATGTTCAGTGAGAAAATAGCAGTTTCACTTAAGAGTGAACTTATTAAGTAAGAGTGCTGTTATTTGAACCAAGACTAAAGAAAGCTGCTCCAGTTATTATTAAATGAACCGTATTGACAGTGTGATGTTTGTGTTTGGCATTATCTTGAGATCAGAACTGAAGTAAGAAATGTGTCTATTCTCCACTCAAGCCTGGTGTGGAAGACATAAATGTGTCCCTCATTGATGCTCTAGTCACAACTCTCTTCTTGGGGTCAGTGATGCTTAAAAATGGAGTCACCTCTTTATCTTTGTAGATCTGAGGGAACCTTTCAGAAGTTTCACAGAGTGGCCATTTTGACCTTAAGAATCTCAGTAACCTAATCTTTTTTACATGTGTTTTTATTCTGTGGGCGGATCTCCTGATTTAGAACAAAAATAGCATTGATACAAGCATAAGCACCATAACTGCTTGTATGTAAGAGTAAAGTGTAATGGCTGACATTCTTCCAAGCATGCTGTGAGAATGTTTCTCTTTGAGGCTGTGATAGTAGCAAAAACATTTTTGAATTCAAGGTGTTCTCAGTTGAACTCAAGGAATGCTGAGAGAACACCTAGGGTTATCTGAAAAAGATGTGATTGTCCTCTGTCATCTTTCTGTATATATTCCAAAAGCAACTCCCTTTTTTTACAGGGCTCACTTGTGGGAGAGGGCATGGCACAAACTGGGTGTATAAAGAAAAAGCATCTTAGGAAAATGGCAAAACTTGCATCTTAATAAAAATAATTACGTGCCATCAAGACAGTTCTGAATTATGGCAACCATCTTGGATTTACTAGGACCAAAGTACTTAGAAGCGGTCTACTGCTTCCTCGTTCTGGTGTGCTCTTGGCCTTGCAACTTGCTGAGACCCACACAAGTGGCAGGGCTCTTGGTGAGGTTGGGCTATGCACTACTTCCATAGTGGTAGAGGGGGATTCACATAATTAACTCCTGCCTCCACAGCTAGGTGCTCTAACCTAGTGAGCTAGATACCCCACTGTAATGAGGTAGGAGGATTGCTATGCCCACCCATGTCAAAAAATTAAACTCCTGCATATTCATGTCCTGTCAAGTAGAGCAGGGGTCCCTAACCCCAGGCTACGGACTGGTCCCTGTCTGTGGAGACAGATCTGTCCCTGCATGCGCAGATGCATGCATGCCCCTCCCATGCACGCACGGCCCCTCCCATGTACACACGGACGCCCGCCCGCCCGCATGTGAAAACGGTCTGTGGAGGCAAAAAGGTTGGGGACCACAGAAGTAGAGCACCTTTGCAAGCTCACAAAACACTTAAGCTACAGTGACTGTGACCATTTAGATAACCTCAGCTGAAATGTTCAACGGAACTTTATGGTTATGCTTGGCATTTATCAGACATTTCAAATTTGACATCTCCAGCTCAATAGGGAGTCTCAGTAGCCTACATGGCCGACATTAATTGACTTAGCAGGTTAGATATGTCCCATCCTTTCACATGCCATGTTTCTGCTAGACAGAGGAGAGAAGATTTATAATCACCATGAAGATTCCTTCTAATCGGGCATGAGGGAAACGTTTGACTGGTGCCCTAGTCAACTAACTGTGTTGTGGTTGTTGTTTTGACTTATACTGCCCCAACGCTCTCTGTATTGTCCAAATATCAGATCCATAGAGGTCTTTAGCCCTTGTAGAAAAAGTGCAGAATTACCTGCCCCTAGCAATTTCTTTTCTCTCTCCCCCACCCCCGAGATACAACTTTTATGCCTACTTAAGAGTCTTCACAAGTTATTTGCCATAAGCTTAGAGATAGATGGAACTGGAATAGAAACCACGGGTTGCTTATATTAGACCAAACCCTGTGATCCCCGTGTTCCACTGATGGTAGAAGACCCAAAACTATCAGATGTCAAACTAGAAGGAATCTTAGTAGCATGTACCAGTCTTTCATTATCTAGAACAGGGATCCCCAAACCCCGGTCTGCAGCTCAGCACCAGGCCATGGCCTTGGCAGAACCGGGCCGCAGAGACAAATCTCCTGCCTCCTTGCACACACAGATGTGTGCATGCCCCCCCAAGCATGCTAAACTGGTCTGCGGTGCCAAAAAGGTTGTGGACCACTGATCTAGAATATACTATTTCTGCAAATGTACATTTTTTAAAGATGAGGTGCAATCTTGGGCCACTCAGATTTCCCCTGAAAAATAAAGTAACTCTTCAGATCTTTAATATATTTACTGAACCTGACATGATTGCATTTCTATCCCTCTTCTTATTTGATTGTGAAGAGTCATTTTAATGCTCTGATAATGAGTCAGGAATTTTCATTTTTTCCCTTCTTACATGTAGTAGTAACAGAAACTACAGGTAGCATTTCAGGAGTGAGTCTGACATCTGAGCTGAATGAAGAATTAAATGATTTAATTCAGCGTTTTCACAACCAGCTTCATGATTCTCAGGTAAATTCTTCTTGTGTTGTTAAAGTAAGAAATCATCAGGTAACCCATCAAAATGAGTAGCAAATAGTGACTGAAATCCCGTTGTGCAGTTATGCAAGTGACATAAGATTTGGAAGTGAATGGCTATTAAAAGATTTATGTAAACTATTTGTTTCATGTTGGGTTTTGTGACTTGTTATGTAACAAGTATGCTCTATGAAGATTTCCTAACTTCCATCAACTTGTTTTCCGACATTATGCCACTTGCAAAACTATAGGATTTCAACAGGATTTCAACTGTTGTGTCAAGTAGGATCTTGTAACAAAATATTACAGTGTGATGTGCTTTATTCTGTATTTCAGCCACTGATGATCAGAATTCTGCAGAAAACTGAAGTATTTGTTAACATAAATTAAAATATGATGCATGTTTGTGTGGCTGTATGATTGGGTGGATATACTCTTTTATTAATCATATGCACTTGAAATAAATGAAATATATGTTTGTCTTTAGGCTCAATCTGTGCCAGATAATAGAAGGCAAGCAGAGAGTCTCTCCCTTACCAGGGAGGTTTCCCAAAGCAGAAATTCTTCCATGTCTGAACATTTGTCCGAAGAAAAGGCACAACTCTTTAGTAAGATGGTAGCATTGCAGGGTAAAAAGCAGAAAATGGACAAATTGCTAGGAGAACTGCATACGCTTCGTGACCAGCATCTTAACAACTCATCACGTAAGTAGCTCACCATCTTTTTGGTTGAATTAATTTTGTATGTGTTTACTTTCATGGCATGCTATGACTGAATGAATCAGACTGTCTCCTGACTATTTAGATAAAAGCACATTTTATCATATATCCTTGGCCTTGAAACTTTCTCCTTACTTGGAGAGGACAGATTAATTATGTGCTGTCAACTCAGTTCTGACTTACAGCTACTCTTTCCAGGGTTTTCTAGGTAGATAGTAATCAGAAGTGGTTTACTATTCACTTCTTACATATGTCTCTTGTCAAGACAGTATGATACCTATTTTGCACCAGTTGCAATTACTCCCAGCTTGTTTCCAGGTTCAATTCAAGGTGTTGTTTGTTACCTTGCAAGTATGTGGCTTGGGACCTGCATACTTACTGGACCCTTTTACCCATATGAGCCCCCAGGCCAGTTTAATTTGTCTACAACGAAAGGTGCCAGCTGTTAAAGCTTTCTATCTTTAATATATTAGGAAAACATCTTTTCATGTTGCTGCCTCTTATGTTTTGGAGTTCTCTTACTAAGTCCTGGTGAAGTATGACATATTTGCAGAGATTCAGGAGGGGGTGTAAGACTTGAATTGTTTTGGATGACCTCTGGATGTTAGGAAACTGCTATTCTACCACTTCTGTAGGGAAGCATTATATGGCAATGTATAGAAGACAAAATTGTTTGGAACATTGTTGCTAACTTTGCATTTTTACCTTTTATATGAAGTATTTCATTACTTGATTGTTCTTTTGTTATATCCATCATGGTTGTCTATGCTGTGGTGTGGGATTCTCAGTCTGATGTAGTAGAAAGTGACACACTACGACTCTGGAGAATAGGGGTTGAATCTCCACTTAGTCATGGAAACTCATTGGCTGAGTGGAACTGATAAAAACACTTCTTAAATATATCACTTAACTTGCAAGCTTGATTTTGACTTGACAGTACAGAAAACAAACACATACATGTCTGCAGTTAGAAGAATAGTGCATAAATGAGAATAATAAATAAATGAAAATAATATATAGATTAGTTATTCTGTTGCTGTTGTTGTTTCTGAATGCATTTTGAATTAGAAATTATTTGGTTTCAGATATGAAACATTTACATTCATATCCTTGCGCTGCCTGACTGAATAAATTAGTGTTTTATTTTTAGTATTGTTTTCCTAAGCTATTCCCAATTTCCTGCACTGCAAGTGTTTTAGACTATAACTCACACTAGTATCAGCCGATATGACAAACCATTAGGGTTGATGGTAGTTGACAAAGGCTACATTAACTGATTTAAATCCATTTTTAGAATCATAAATATACTCTGTCCATCCTTTTTCCACATTTGATCATCTTCTAATTTATAGTCTTTGTCTGTTTCAGGATCACCTCAGAGGAGTGTTGACCAAAGATGTACAGCTTTAGTAGCCTCTGCACCTGTGGGGATAACAACAACTGTCAATGAAGAATCCAATAGCTTAGCATCATCTGTTGCTTATAATCCAGAATCTGTAAGCTCTCAGAATGACAGTGGGGAGGATGACAGCCTAAACACAACAGAAAAGCTTCAGTAATATATTTTTAGATATTTATTTTGTATTACTTGTTAAACTGTCTCTACTAAGAGCTCAAAGTGGTATTTATCTGAATACACTTTACCACATTAGTCTCAAGATACTTTTTACTTTAACATGGTTCTGTCAGTACTTATTATACTGTAACTAGTACAATTTCATTGCATGTTCAGACTTTTGTTACAGAAAAAAAAGATTAGCTTGGCTGGTCCCTGCTAATTTGTGGTCTTCAGTATTGAATGTTCAGTGTCTATGTATTCTAGTTGATTTTTCAAGGACTTACCACTGATTAATTATAGTATCTTAAGGCATGCATGAGTAGCTCAGTATTATCTATGTTGCTTGACTGTTTTGAAATCAGTGAAGTGCAAAATCCTGGAAATAAATTGAGAGATGATGTAGGGGTTAAGAGTCTGAGTTATGAACAAAGAAATGCCTTGTTCAGATTAACTGCTGCAGTCTTATTAGTAGCCTTGGCTGTACTAGTTTATCTCAGTCTCACACCATTGACTACGGTATAAAGACAACACTGACCTGCCTTTACAGCATTATTATAAAGACTATAGAAATGTTCCACTAACTCGGTGTAGTATAATGGTTAGCGAGATGGGCTGGGACTCAGAACACCTGGGTTCAAATCCCTGCTCAGCCATGGAAACTCACTGGGGGACTGGAACTAGTGGCAAAACCACTCCCTAAATATTACACTTACCTTGAAAGCTCTCTTAGGGTCTATGTAAGTCAGTTTTGACTTGATGACACGTAACAGCAACATAGCAGTGTGCATGTGAAGACTAACATGTTAGCTAGAATACTATTTGTATAGCTACAGTATGTAGGCACAAACAGTGGTTATGTGATCAGTCTGCAATTTGTTCTTTAATACAATTTCATTTAAAGCATCCTATCCTCCCCCTGTCAGTTTCTGAGGCTCCTTAGGAATCTGTTTTGACCTGGAAGCCTTTGGGAGTATATGTGTGTCTGTGTGTGTGCGGGGGACTTTAATATCCTTAAGATACTGCTCGGTTGCCACCAGTGGTACAGATTAGAAGGTGCTGTAATATAAAATCCCTAATTTTGCATAGCTGCTTTGCACATACATAAGTAAATTAGTCATAAGCCTTAATATTCTCCTATTTGTTTTCTTTACGGCATTATTCCTCTGTGATTCTCCTACTTCATTTTTCTAGTGTGTATGAAAGAGACCCTGAAAATTATCAACAGTTTGTTCAAAACTAATGTTTTGTCAGGAGATAGACAATGCTTGTCGTCTAAGGATTATATTTTCCTTGATGTAGACAAGCAATTAAGCAGGTTTCTAAGTGATTTTCTGCAGTATTTGCATCTACTGAGCAATCTGTCAGTTAGATCTCTTTTCATTGTAGGAAGTTGAAAGAAGTTCGGAAGAGGCTGAATGAATTGCGTGAATTAGTCCACTACTATGGACAAACTTCAGATATGATGACAGATGCTGTAAATGAAAACACTAAAGATGAAGAGGAAACAGAAGATTCAGAGTGTGATTCTGAGCTTGAGAATCCTCAGCCTGTTACCAATCTCAGGTTGGCTATAGGCATTGCCTACTAAAATATTGGTGGCATAATTATAGGAAATGTCCTATGTCGTTAAAATACAGGGATGCCAAAGACATTGTGTTTTGTCACAATATATAGCAATTGTACAGAAATGTACAAGAGATGGGGAAAGTAAATGTGCACATTGTCTTCTTTCTGTTTGTGCACTGATGTGGGGTGCTTGAAATCTAAAGATCCTGAATAACTTGATGTTTCTCTCAAAGCTGACTGTTTTACTGTTTCATCATAAAGTCTAGCATATTTATCAGGTTAGTACATAAGTTTTGTCCAAAGAAAAACTGTTCTGTTCCTCAATATAGCACAGTACAAAACTGGCTCTTCCCAGTTTTCTTACTGGATACTGAGTATGTCATTAAAAGGATTTACTTAATTTCCTTCTAGATTGACCCACAAACACACAGCCTGCTGATTCATAAAGTTATCAAGCTAGACATTTGCCTGGTTACAGGTTTATAAAATAGTATTCAGTCTGAAGTTTCAGGGCTGGAATCTTTTTGTCCATCATCTTCTGGTTTAGGTAGAAGATGCTTACCAGGTGCTATTTACTAAAAGGAAAACTATGGGCAAACAGTTTTTGTAACTGTAGCATAATACAAGAATTGAACGTTTATACAGTTGTTTCAGTACCCTGTTTTCAGAATCTATGAAATTTAACAAGTACCCAAATGTTAGAAATAATAAGCCGTTATTTCTAACATTATAGATAAATTAATTGCTACATGATGCTTTTTGGTGTTGGAATAAAAGTTGGTTTAGGTATCTGGCTGCAGAGCCAGAGGTTGAGAGTTTGATTCCCTCCTGTACCTTTTTTTCAGGGGTTGGACGCAGTGATCCATAGGGTCCCTTCCAGCTCTGCAGTTTTAAAATTATTGTTATTTAATATTATTATGAAAAAGGATTAACTTTTAAAGAAAATAATTACTTGTTCAGCTGCTATAACTTACCATAAATGTTTAAAAATTACTCTGATTTTATTTATATTATTTTGTCTTGGAATTTTTGAAGAATTAAAAGTACTTATATCTAGTTTTTCCCCCCCTCCTCCTAGAAACCCACAAGGCATCACTAGCTGGGGTGAAGTAAATTGCAGTAGTAATTTGCAATGTGGAACGAATAACAGAAATGGAATACACCTTAACACAGCTTGTGAAATAAACAACCAATCTGGTAATGTAAGGATGCTGAATATGCCCTCAGTGTTAGGTACGTTTTAGAATAATCTTGTTGGATTTTGCATGGGCAACGGAAGAACAATCATATTGTTTTTGACAATTCACAAGTTTTTCAGCTTTCTTTCAGTTGTTAATTTTTTTAATTTTTATTGATGCTTACAAATAAAAGATAGTTGAAATCCTTACAATACATATGAAGTTAATGAATTTTAATGCAGAGTGATGGCATTTAGGAACACCCTCATGTTATGTAGATACTAGGACTGCAATCTAATTGAAAAAAATTGATTGCTTTATCACACGAAAGTGGTAAATTTATTAAATTGGCATAAGGAGAAAAGTTGTGTGAGAAACAAGTTAATAGTCATTTCTCCTATATGTGAAAAAAAGACAGACTAATGTTTGATGTCTGCAGTGTTCAGAATTAACTAAAAAACAAAATTTAAATCTATACAATTAATTTTGGTTTCCTTCTGAAATCTTTCCTTTAGCTGAAAAATGATCAAACAATTTAAGCATTGTAGTTGTAGTTATGCATCTATCTATTATTATTTCAGACGGTCATTATAATAGAGATGATGATGGTGCAGAAGTTCCACAAGGTGAGGATGATGACATTGGTGCTGAAGCTGACAGAGCCAGTGAAGCGTCATTATCCAGTCACAGAACCAGCATAACTGAAGAGGCTCCTGTTGATGCAGAGTTTGAGCAGAAGATTAACAGGCTTATAGCAGCAAAGCAAAAACTTAGACAGCTTCAAAATCTTGTTGCAATAGTACAGGTGCGCGTTGATCTAATGAAGAACTTCATTTCATGCCAAAATACTGAAATAAATTGAAGCCATTTTGAATTGTTTTTTTTTCCTTTTAAAAATTAAATTAATTCAGTAGAACTTGTTTCAAGCATGACTTCATTATGCTTTTAAGTTGGGAAATACTACAAATATTTTTGCTATGTCCTTATTTATGAATTATATTTTACTTCTTGATTACAGACAGCATAAAAGTTAATATTTGGAAAAATAAGGAGCCCAATGCTATTACTACTAGTAATGATAGTAGTACTAGTAGAAGTAAAAAAAAAAACTATTACAGTGGTGCCTTGCTTAGCGATTGCTTCGTTTAACGATGTATTCACTTAGCGATGGGTTTTTTTGAGGAATTTTCCGCATTGTTTAATGATGTTCTCTGTGGGCGATTTTCACTTTACAATGTCCGTTTTCGCATTGAGTAGGCTTCAATCCATTTCAATGGCTTTGGGACGTGCGTTCAATGCATTCCAATGGGGGGGGAATTTACCAAAAATTAACGAAGACTCAGAACAAAGCCAAATTAAGTTTGCAAATGTTTACAAGGTGCACTAACGATTCCAGGCCTTTAAAACAGGTTTCAAACATGTTAAGACACTTTTAAATGAGCGAAAAAGGACAACGCAAAGCCATTGAAATGCATTGAATAGGCTTCAATGCATTCCAATGGGGGAAACATTGTTTCGCTTAGCGATGTTTCCTATGGCGATTTTCACTTAAGGACGGTAATCCGTTCCCATTGGAACTGATTAACCAGTTTTCAATGCTTTCCTATGGGAAATGATGTTTTGCTTAGCGATGTTTTCCCATAGCGATGTTTTTTTTGGAACCAATTAACATTGTTAAGCAAGGCACCACTGTATATCGGTCTTATATAGCATAGGCATCCTTCAGTCTCAAGAGACTATGGTAACGTGCTCTATATGGAGGACTTGGAATAGCTCCTAGTGGTTTAACGCTGTATGCGAAGCTGGAGTGTCCTCTCCAGGGCATGAAGCCTGTGTAAAATAATATGGAGAATAGGCTGTTACCCAAGCAGCAAATCCCCCCCTCTCCATGTCACTGAAACCTCAGGTTGCTGTCCTCTGAAGACGCCGGCCACAGAGACTGGCGAAACGTTAGGAAGAACAACCTTCAGAACCACGGCCAAAGAGCCCGAAAAACCCAGAACAACCATAGATCCCATAAAGCCTTTGCTAATATAATGTGCTTAATTTGTCCAGTGGGCCAATGGGACTTAAACTTACTAGATGGTGCCTAAAACATATCATCAGTACATACATTTATCCCATCACTTCATAACTAGATGTAATTGTGTTTTGTTGAAGCTTGAAGAATTTAATTAGAATACTTGTTAAGAACATCACATGGCTTGTGTTGCTTTCTTCCATGGGAAGGATTTATTTTTCTTTTACATCCTTTGTATGTTTTTCAGCACCCTTTTAAGCAACATTCCCTCTAAGTTTCTGTTCCAGTGTGTGAAAGCCCAATGTGCACGGGGGTGGGCAAAGCTTCATTCACAGCGGGAGGTAAACAAACCAGCTGTTGTCTGCTTGTGCACAACCCTGACAGAGCTCTCTGCGTGCAGCATAGAGAGGACATTGCTTTTAAGTTACGCAGTTTACTACATTTGTTTAGCTGCCAACCTCTTATGCATCTGTTTTAGGTAAACATGTCTTACTTAGTAAACTTGGCTGTGCCAAGTATGTGGCAAATCTCTGCCACATCATGTTTTGAAAATAGGTGGGTTTTGATGAAACCATTGCTGAAGGCGCTGTTGTTTTTAGGATGATGAGGGAGAACCAGAAACTGCAAGACAGGAGCAGTTCTTTTCAGCTGAAGAAGGAAAAGAACAGCAGCGACCAAACAACATTCACACAAGTGCAAATAAGTCACAGAAGAGTGTGGGTCTGAACGAAAAAACAAGGTATGGTCTTTTTCATTTGCATTACTAATTCAATCTGTTAACTGGCCAATCTGTTATCAAGGAGGGATACCGGTTTTTAAGGTCTGCTTGAAAACTGGGCTATAGAATGGAGCAAGGCTACATCTGTTGCTTTTTCTAGTATCAGTGTAATTCTCCTGTTCCTTACCTCTACTTATTTGACTCATTTCATTTGCTATATTCAGGGCACCCAATCACTTGTATATCTTGCATAAATCACAGTCCTCTTTAGCAGTTGGGGAGGTTTGGTTTTGAAATGTGTTCATTTAATAAATGAATAAAGTGCAGGCTTCCACATTGGAAGTTCTCCAAATTAATCCATTTGTATAGATCCATTTCAAATAGGGGTGGAAGATTGCCTGTTCAGAGGTGCTTGTGAAACTGCGTTTGAAAAGATGAGAGGTATGAAATTCTATTATTGTAGGGAGAAATTTTATGAGGCCAAGCTTCAGCAGCAACAGAGGGAACTTAAGCATCTCCAAGAAGAAAGAAAAAAACTCATAAAGATTCAAGAAAAAATTCAGGTGTTACAGAAGGCATGTCCAGATCTTCAAGTAGGTAGAAAGTGTTTTGTGTTGTAAATGGGTATTGAATTGCAAGAACAATTTTGTTTTGTGTCCACTGGCAAGATTAATTGAAACATTAATTCATTAAAAGAAAGGCAGCAGTGTGTTTGATCTTAAGGCAGGCTGTTCAGATAAATTTTGGAGGTGCAGTTCCGCGTATCATAAAAGATTAATACAAAAATTTCATTTTTGAGAAACATTGGCTGAAATCCTGATGCTTAGCAGGATCACAATAAGAATAGGCTCATGAATCACTGGGGATTTGGTGAGTCGCCTTCTCAGTATATTCTGTTGATGGCAGCAAAGAAAATTATGCCAAGCATGAAAAGTCTTAAGAAAGGAGGGAAGCTGTGTCATATTTATGTGTAAATATGTTATGTCAGTGCTATATATGTTTTGTGTTGCTATTGGTATATAGAAACAACCTGTGGTTTTAAGCAATAAAGTTTTCAGATTCACTGCACTAAGCAATAGGATTTCAGCCACTGACTCCTTAAAGAGTTGAATTGGTTGCTCAAATGCTGATCAAGTTTAATTATGGCACTGTTATTCTCAGAGTAGTACCATGATTGTCATTTTGCAATTTCATTCATTTCTAGTTGTCATCCAGCATGGATAATAGTCTGGGGAATACTTCAGCACCGGGTACTAATGACATCAATGCAGCAAGCAAGGCTGTGGTTCAGTCGGAAGAAACAGCCATGGTGGATAGTGAGGTACTGTATATTCATGACAAAACTGATAACAATTTCTTTTGGATTCTAAATAATCCTCAGTATAGTGATTTGTACTGTTATATATGAATGTTAAACCTGCTTTCCCTACTCCTTTAGAAATGCACTAAGAGGCCTTTGCTTTTTTTTTAAGTACTCCAAGATGTATACACATCAAATAGTACTTAACAACCTTGATGGTCTTTGAGAAGTTCAGTAGTGTCAAACATTTCAAATTTTGAGAGAAAACAGACTGAAAAAGAAATGAAAATGTAAAAATGTTTGGGATGCTTTTTTGGCATATATTTATTTTTATATATCCTTCATGAGAAAAGTTTACCTGTTTGTAAACTGTTTGTTTAATAGGCCATTTTCCTCTCAATAATGGTACCCAAGGCAGCTCGTGTTGTTAAAAGACTAGAGTGAAAAATGTAGTAAGTTAAACATTAAAAAAAATTAAAAGTATTAAAAACATGACAGGTTGACTCCATCTAAATTAAGTGAACTCAGAACATTTAAAAGATATCTGGTCCCTTAGTCTTGTGTCTAAATATGCAATAATATATATTGATCTCTGATTCATTACAATGTTTCTCTTTAATCTGTGATATCTTTAAACAGCTTTGGTCTGAAATGCGCAGACATGAGATTTTAAGAGAGGAATTACGGCAGAGAAGGAAGCAGCTTGAAGCTTTAATGGCTGAGCACAAGAGAAGAAGAGATCTAGCTGATACTGCATCTACTTGTGCTGGATCCATGAAAAGTGATGGATCAGAAACTCAGTGCACTCCCCAACAAAGCAGAACAGAAAAGTAAGAGGGGAAAATGAAATAAACTGCTTTTTAATGATGTGTTTATACAGGTGCTAGAAATAGAGGGCTAGATTTCAGTGTTATATATTGTATTTTCTCTCCCCCTGCCCCAACCCTGCATGATGCCAAAAAACTGATCTAGGAGGTTTGCTGTCTCCCACTTTGACTCATTGGAATGTGTTGGGGCTGGGGAAAAATTATCAACAAATAAACAAAAAATAAACAAAAAACCCCAAAAAACAAAAAATAAACCAAAAAAACAATGCAAGCCCCGTCGGAACATGGCGGGGCCAAAAATTTTTTTTAACCGAAACCAAAAAACCACTGCCAGCCCCATCAGAACACAATGGAGCTGGAAAGAAACACACAAACACCCCCCCCACACACACACACACAGAGCCAGCCCCATGAAAAAGCGATAGGGCTGGGGAAAAACCCACACCAAAACACAAAAAAATCACAGCACAGAAACATAAACTACCCAAACCCACCCTTCAAAACAAGGTAAATGTACTTACTCAGGAGCAGAAAGTAGCTCCAGGCAGTCCGAAGCCGCCTCCGACGCACTTACTCTAACCATTGGGGCGAAAGAGCTACAAAGAAGCCTTTTCGCCTACCAACAGTTAGCAAATTTGAATTCCCCACCTTTTTTCCTGCCTTTTTCCGGTTGCAACTCGAAGCTCTGGCCGCAAGTCAAAGCAAAATTTTGCGGCCAGAGCTGGTCACAACTCAGAACAAGATTACTGTATGTCAGGACGTTAGTAAGTCGAGGCACCACTGTATATGAAAGCTACAGGAGCTTAGTCAGTGACGAGTAGACTGGAGGAAAAAAAATGTCTTTTTTGCGAGATATATTTAAAGCAAATACCCTTAAAACTTCATCTGTATTAGATTTAGAATTGCTGTTATGCATAGCCAGATTGATGAGGACTATGTAGCCAAACTTGCTAGTTTCACATATTGATAAATAAAATTTTTCATTTAATGCCCCCCATTGCAAAATAAAGCCACATGGTCGTTACACAGGAGTAGTTGATATCTTAAATGACAAAGTCATAACTATGTTTCTAATACCATTTGTGTTTTGTAGAATTCCTGAAGCACATGATATAGATACGTTAAAATAATTCTTATTTCTAGAACTTGAAATTAAATTGAGAAATGCATATTGTTGATTTTAATTGATAAGTGTTTGTGAATATAATCTCACTTCATTCTTTATGAGCAGCAGAATAACTGTTTTTAAAATATCTAATACTAGAACAATGGCAACATGGGGAGGGTCTACTCAGTGTGCACTTGATGAAGATGATGAAGAGGTATATCTATCTGATGGTCTTGGTCAAGCAGAAGAAGAGGAAGAAGAACAAGATTCTAGTTCCAATGAACTATCCATATGTCCCAATAATATGGATCAAAACATGTATTCTACAAAGGAAGACAAGGAGAGGTTAGTTATATATTTAGTACCAGTAGTAAATTTGTAACATTCTTTAAGAAGGGCTTTTCCATGGAATGTCATTAAACTGCTCAGCATGATACTAGTATTTTGCTATGTACTATGGGGTTTGTTTTGAATGTCTGTATTACTTGGCAAAGTAAGCGGGTATGAATGTATTGTTTCCATTCACATGTCAGTTTACCATTCAACTGTTACAATAATTCATTGTCTTGATGAATCACACACATGGGTTTTGTGCTTGCACAGAGCCATGTACAGAACTTTCTAAAGCTGAGTAGATTTTGGTGGAATCCCAACCACACATCTAGCAGACGCACCTTGGAATCTCAGCTACTCTAAATCTGCCATGAAAGTACATGGAAAGAGATCCGTTTTGGTGTTTTCTCTGAGCTACTGTTGAATAGCAAACATTCTTTGTAGTTGTTCATCTTAGTATTGATATTTTCATTTCTTTATCCAACAAATGCACTTGGCCAGGGACGTAGGTAATTGTGCTTATGTCACCATCTGTTTGCTTCAAGCTTTCATTGGTTATGATTCAGAAATGGTTGTTGTGGGTTTTTCGGGCTCTTTGGCCGTGTTCTGAAGGTTGTTCTTCCTAACATTTCGCCAGTCTATGTGGCCCGAATCTTCAGAGGACAGCACTCTGTGCTCTGGTGTAGTTTGCTTGAGAGTTGAGCATTTATCAGAACACGGCAGAGCCCGAAAAATCCACAACAACCATTAGTTCCCCGCTGTGAAAGCCTTCGTGAATACATATGATTCAGAAAGTCATACAGAGAATCTGCCATTTGATGGGGACAGTGCCCCTACAGAGCAGTGGATCATTTGTTAAAGATTATAACAATGACTAAGAAGACAGGCATTATTGTCCAACAACTGCAGCCCATCAAGCAATTGAAGTTCAGCTGGGCTTCAGTCAGAATTTTATTCTCACTAGCTTCATTCTTCTGGTCACTCTTCCACTCTTTATTGGAAGCACCTGTTTTGTCCATTGAAATATGGCTCACTCTTTTCATTCTGCAAAATAATTTGCAGGAGTTTAGAGCAACATCTTTGATTCCTTTACACGCAAAGATGAGTAATTTGCTCTCAGGACATATTTCCTTACATTTGAAATGACTGTTACTTTTGTCCTCTTAATCTGGTTTTTGCTTTGTGAAATATTTTTTATCAGGAGACTTTGAAATGTGTAACACTTTCTGTCATCTCCAGCTGGAAGAATGCACAACCTCTTTCAGCAGATGAAAGCTACTGTCCCCCAGCTAAAGCAAGGCAACAACAGAACATCAGCATGCGGCGTCAGGAAAACCATCGCTGGGTGTCTGAGCTTTCTTATGTGGAGGAGAAAGAGCAATGGCAAGAACAGATTAATCAGCTCAAAAAACAGCTTGAATTCAGTGTCAATATTTGCCAGACTTTAATGCAGGATCAACAGGTAGAATGCAAGAGCCTTTTTGATTTTCCACTCTTGTGTATTTTTCATAATTCTTAGAAGTGTTTTCAATTTAATGTTATTGTCGTAGTTGGAGCAGAGTCAAGGCTGAAGGTATTGAAGGCTTTTTTGACAAGGGCTTGCATCTGCTAGTTTAATTTTAACTTTATTTCCCATAGTATGAAGATCTCAGTAGGCTATTTGAGGTGAAACCCACCACTTGTTCTCTGGATCATCATTTCTATTTTATAAAAAAGGGACACTGAGTTGAGCTGTCATTACTTTGGGGAAGAGGAGGGGGAATATACTTTAACCCTTTAGAGAGCCTATGAGCCACAGTCTCTGTTTAATATAATTGGTTTCCAAGTTTACGTTCTGATTAAGATAATTGGGAAAACAGCAGAACAGGTCTGGAGATTTTTAAAATTTTATTTTACTTTTATTTTTTAAATTCACTATCTTTTTTTGAATATAGTCAAACTCATTTCTACTCTTTACATTGACATTAGTTGTGATAATGCCTTGTTGATTCTCTTCTCTCTCTCAGTGGAGTCTTACATTGCAGTTCATAAGCCTCTCTGGTGCTAAGAGGCATCTGAAGGGGTGGTTGAAGATCTACATCAGTACAGCTTGTGACATGAGGCATATATCTGGGGCTAGTCTAGATATAGACTTTGCCTCTCTTCCTGTCCTTCTAGAGACGTGTATGGTGGCCAGCACACATGATATTACTGTTGTTGTTGATATTGTTGACTAATACTGTTGCTATTTTTTATACTGGCGATTGTTTTAAATTTTGTTTTAATCCCTTTTTGCAAGGTACACAGTCAAAATGGTGTGGAGAGGTGGGATAGAGTATTGGGGATTGTGAACATTAATGAGAACATAATTGAAATTTCAATTGACATGTTGTTGTTTTTTACAGACTCTCTCCTGTCTATTGCAAACCTTGCTTACGGGCCCTTACAGTATGATGCCCAGTAATGTTGCTTCGCCACAAGTCCATGTTATAATGCATCAATTAAATCAGTGTTATACGCAGCTGACCTGGCAACAAAATAATGTCCAGAGGTATTTTTTAACTTTGTGTCTGACCTTCAGTATTGAGCAGAAGACTGTAACAGTAGTATAGAATTGGTGTTTTATGTTTAAGATACTTAAAAGAATCCATATCACTCTAGATCAGCAGCAGGCAACATGCAGCCATGGGATTGCATATGGCTTCCAGGGACTCAAATGTGTTAAAATCTTAAAAAAAAAAACTTTTGGAAATATATCTTCCTTTGCCCTCTAAGGATATGGGTGTGTGTGTGACAGTTTTGTCATGTTTTGAGGACTCCTTACCGCCCCACTAGAAGGTGCTAGGTTCCTCTCAAAGCATAGGAACAGAAGAGTAAAGGAACTTTTTCAGTTAAAAAACAATAACTCAGCAATTCATTTCTGCTAGAAATATTTTTGGGGTTGTGGGTCATGTGAACAGACCTCCAAGATCCAGGAACCGGTGTGTACATCCCTGAGATCTTTGTATTTTGTACATACTTTCACTGAGTGAGACTCTGTACAGAAAAGAGAAGTGTGATGTTTTAGAGACTCAATCCAGTTAAAAGCAAACACTGCAGTGAGGTGTATTGTATAACACTAAACAATTAACTGTTGCATGCTGTTTAAGAAACAACCAGATCATCCTAACAGTGTAAAAATTTATTTATTTATTTATTTATTTACTTACTTACTTACTTACTTACTTACTTACTTACTTATTTTATATCCCGCCTATCTAGTCAGCTCGGACCACTCTAGGCGGCTAACAATCAACAAATGATAAAAATAAACATATATATAACAGCATAAATAGTAACAAGCTTACAAAGATAAGAAACTAGTAAAGAAAGAAGAGGAGCATCAAGAATTGTCTGGTGGGAAGGCCTGCCGGAACATCCATGTCTTCAATTGATTATTAAAGATGCCCAGCGAGGGAGCTCCGCGAATCCCAGGCGGTAGATTGTTCCAGAGGCGAGGAGCCACCGCCGAGAAGGCCCGATTTCTTGTCTTCTCTTTCCGGGCCTCCCTCGGCGTTAGGCTCCTCAACCTCACCTCCTGACTCGCATGAGTGACACGGGTAGATCTTGGTGGGAGTAGGCGTTCTGCCAGATATCGAGGCCCTAAACCGTTTAGGGCTTTATACGTAAGCATTAACACTTTGAAGTCAATTTTTTGTGTGACATTTACATTGGAGTAGAGGTGCAGGAAGAACAATTTTAGCTTTTCAAAAGAAAACTTGGCAGAACTGAAATTTAGAAAAAAGATGAATTTTCTACATATTAACACTTGCTAACCAGCTGAGATGTTTGACTGTTTAATTACTTGAAATACTACTTTGCCTGAAAAGCTCTTTTATATCTCTCTGTTTCAAATTTATTGTTAACTTTACAGGCTGAAGCAAATGTTAAATGATCTAATGTGTCAGCAAGAGCAACAGCAGGCAAGAACACCCCAAAAGGAAAAGGCGAACAGAGCTCCTCCACCTCCGTCACCAACTGTGTTCTGTCCTTTCAGTTTTCCTTCCCAGACAATGAACCTCTTCAATATGCCTGGGTTCACAAATTTCTCTGCTTTCCCACCAGGTAAGCAATATGAGAACTTAAAAATGTCTGTCAGCATATCCCCAAGGGTATTGCTTGTCTGGTCTCAGATCAATAGCTGTGATCGTCACATCATACCATTTTTCCTCCAGTGTAGACCTTCTGCCAACCTTTTTTCCGATTTTAAAAAAGTAATAATTATAATTGGGACTACTTAGAACTTGATATCTGTATAGCACAGTTTTTGCCATGTCTATTGTAGTCATTCCTTGGCCTCATATTGATTTCCTGGTTGAGTGGAGAAGTGTAAACAGGAGTAAATTGTGTTTTGTCTCTGCCATCTTGAAATGGTAGAGCCAAAACAACCTTCAGTTCCAGAAGAGAGAAGGAAACTCTCTACAGTCTTTGTTCTGTATTTTTCTGTCTTCTTCCATTCCCTGCTTTCCCTCTGTCAAGAACTAGACAGAAACTTGGTGTACAGGGGTATGGGAGATCAATGATTTTTATGCTTTTTACAAGTCTTGCCCTACAGTTGCATTGCAGCTGAGTACACTACACTTAACCTCATCCACAGGAAGTCTCCTCATTACATTGCCTTAAGCTGCTTCCAGGGCTGTGGAATTCAGCTTTCTTGTCTCTGGTGTTCTAAGGCTGATTCCTCATCACTGCTCAACTGTAGTGTTGCTAGTGCTAGGGTGTGTGGAGCTGAAGCACAGCATCCTTCCTCACCTTCTAGAAAGTTTTCTTTTGCCAACTCTAGCATTTCCTTGGGATTTACAGTAACTTGGTGGCATATGCTGCTGCGCCAGTTTAATGCAGCAGTCTCCAAAGCTGACTTCTACAGAGTTCATTGCTGCATTTCTGGACATCTGTCCCTGGTGTCTAACCTTGGTAGGCTGGTAGGTAGATATTTCCTAGTGATCTTATAGCCAGGAGCAAGTATTCAGTTTCAATTTTTCCCATGTATTTTAAAAAAAACAATTGAAAGGCTTCTGTTTCTTTCCAGTTGTGTCCAGTAGTGGAGAATAGGCCAGTGTCACCAGCACCAAGTGAGGCTGAGCCTCTGTGGATCTCCTGGCTAGTGCTGCTTTGCAGTGATACCCATTAGGAGACCCATAAGCACTAGATGTTTCTGCTGCTTCCCCAACCTGTGGTGTAGGCCTTTCATGAAGAATTATTGACAGTATCATTCAGCTGGCCCAAGTGATGTGGGCATCTATTTCTAAGCTGTGCACTGTGGGTCACTTTCTAGCTGTGCAGTTTGGTTGTAAAAGCTGTATTGTGCCTGTATACCATAGAAAGAAATATACTATTTCCTTAGACCACTGAGAAGACCAGTGGAAGTCTAGTTTTATTTTTTTCCTGCTAATATTCTTTTTTTTACTTTAAGCCAAGGTATTGAAGTTGCTGCTGTTTCTGTGATAATCAATTTATGTCCTTATCCTCATTCACTTAGTTGAATTTTTAAAAACTGTGTCTTAAATGGAAATAGAGAAGAAATTGCATATAGAATGATTCAAACATTTTCAGCTGTTATATGGCTTAGTTAATTTGTGAGGATAGGCTGAAAAGTAACATCTCAATACTGTATGTGGTTGTTAGGAACAAATGAGATGTCAATATTGAGCTCCTTTGAGTGAGATGGAGTATAAATTTAATACACTTGAATATGATAACAAATCTTTGTTCTTCTGTACTATAATATAAGCATCCAAATCACATAGGAGAGCCATCTTGCTTTGTTTACACAGGTATTAACTTCAGTCCAATATTTCCATCTGGTTTGGGGGATTTTTCACGCAGCTGCAATGCTCAAAACAGTGAACATCAGCCACCATTAGAAAACAACATAGCTGGGAAAACTGACTACATGGCATTTCCAAAGCCATTTGAAAGTAATTCCAATGCCGGAGTAGAGAAACCAAGGTACAGTACTTTAAACTTAAATCAGTTATTTGACAGCCGATGTACTGGCATCCATATTAGAATACATGTTAGAACCAGTTCTTCCGAATGTGTATTGAATTACTTTGCACTTGATGTACTATTCTCTGAGATTCATAGGCTGACATCCTCTTTGCCTTCACACAATCAAAAATCATACATAAATTTGCTGAATGTTATGCCCAGCTAATGAAGATTGCGCAGTTCTATTGTGCAATTGTTCTCATGGTTCTCTGACTGTTGCACAGCACGCATGCAGAAGTGTTTCATGAATAGCACTTCTGCCATGCTGTGAGTTTCAGATCTGGTTCCATACCTTTGCATTGCACACATGGAGCAACACAACAGGATTTCAGCTATAATGAAAAAAAATGTTCCCACATAAAATAAAGTAGCTAGGGGATTGATTTGTTTTTTTTTTTAAAAAAAAACAACAACATTTGAATAAACTACAGCTTCCTTTGGTCAAATAAACAGCCCATTAACTTTTATTTATTTATTTATTTAATTTCTATGCCACCCAATCTACCCAGAGGTCTCTGGGCAGCTCACAACAATTACAGTTCAATACAATAAAAGATAAAATGATTAAAATACAATTAAAATACAATTAAAATTGCCATCATCAGGACCCACAGTTGATGTTATTTCAATTAAAAGCCTTCTGGAACAGGAAGGTCTTGACCTGGCGCCGAAATGTCATCAATGTCGGCGCCAGACGAAT